GCAGTGGGAGAAGGAGCCTCCTCACTGAGCAGGAAGCCCAATGCAGGGTTCAATCCCAGGACCCCAGGATCCATATCATGACCTGAGCCAAAGGCAGATGCTTAACTGACTGAGCCACCCAGGTGCCCCAAAGAATTAAGTTTTAAATTAAAACACAAATCCTTAAATAATAAGATCCTACTCTTTGCACTTATGAGACAAACTCAGTTTTGAACGATACATGATGTGTGTATTTCCCATTCATTCATTCATGCATCCATTCAGCAAATTTCTAGATACCTAAATTTCTAGATACCAACTAATTTTCTGGTAATTCTTTTACAGTAGTGAACTAAATCAAATTAATCCCTACCTTCATGGAGCATACATGTTAAATTCAATTTATGAATAGAAAAGTGGCACTATCATCAACTTGTTACTGTTTCTACTTGAGTGTATTTGCTACTTTGGTATAAATACTGTATGAACTATGAGGCCCATAGCTTGTTCTTTCTTGTTTCCATGTCTTCTCCATGCTTTGTCCATAGTGGCGAATATGGCATGACTTTCCCTTCACTAGGAAATCAATAGGGACTTTGAACCTATATCAAAATATGACTGTGAGAACTACCAGTCAATTACAATTTCATGGAGGTAAACAAAATGCAATTTCAGATACTTTTAGACAATTTGGTTTTATATGCACACTGTGTGTTCTGTAGTACTGCAGAAAATTCTGAGGAACTGGACATGTTTAAGAAAACAAGATAAAGCTGAAAATATGAGCCCTCTGAGCCTGAGTATCACAAAGCTCTGTGATTGAAACAATAAAAGTACACATTGAAGTACCAAAGTCATTATCACCCTATTATGGGTATATAAAACACTAGACAGCTAATTTTTCTCTCCTACAGATCATATCTGTTTCTATTTATTTTAATTTTTTGAAAGACATACTTAAACCTTGAGTTTCATAGTTAATCTTGTTGACAAAATTATTTTTATTTTAAAAGGTTTAAGTTTTTGTATGTATTACTTTGATTTTTACCAGCCATTCATTCCATACATATTTATTGGACCCTCCTCTGTCCCTGTCTCAGGCATTATTCTAGATCTAGAAATTCAGCAGTGACTAGAATAAACAATATCCCTGTCCTCATAAAAATTACATTCTACTTGAGAGGATTGAAAAAAGCAAATCTACATTCAGATATGTGTATCAGGTAGTGCAAGGGCAAGAACTAAGGAGGAAAAAAAAAAAACCCAGAGGAGCAGAGGGTATGTTGAGGAGAGAGGGGAAAGTTGGAAATTGGTTACTTCAGTCATAGAGTGGACAGGAAAGATCTCAGTGAGAAAACCACAGGAGAGGGAGAGAGTCTTGGAGAAGTCAGGGTGAGAAGCACCTCTGAATGATAGAATGCTTGTACAAAGGTCTTCAGCAGAAGTGTGTCTGAAGTGCCCTAAAAACAGAAAGCTGGGGCACAGTTAGCAGGAGGTAAAGTAAGAAAAGATGCAGGGTGCCAGACGATGTTGATCTCTGTATGGAATTCTAGATTTGTCTTCTAATCTTGAGTGAATAAATTATATATATATATTATATAAAAGTTATATAATATATATATACATTCTACATATAATATATAAATTACATATATATACATGTATAAATGTACATATATACATTCTACAAATTAACATATAAATTACATTACATATTAATCTCACCACATGTTTAATACTGTTCAGATAGGGCTATACATTTTTCACTGGTTATACACTATTCACTATCACTGACATCTTTTCTACCTTATTATATGCACATTATAATATACATATTATATACATATCATATACATATCATATAATATACGTGATTTCTCTCTACACACACACAAACACACACACACACAGACACACACTTTCCAGTAGTCCATGATGATCTCTCCTAATCAAAGCTAAAAATTGCAAAAATAAAGATCATCTACATCAAGAAAAATATTAGTCAACACATATTTGTATTGCCAAACCCACAATCTATACATATCTCTACAGACTGACAAAATGGATGTTGAATCAAATATCCATATGTTTGGAATCCAGACACATTAAAATAGCATAGATTTTTTTTTTATTTTCATCAGAAAAGTCATTCAATCGGCACTGACAGATAGCAATGAACATCATAAGTATTTGTGACTTCTAAAAAAATATTTGGAGGAGATGGAACTGAAGGAAAATGTTTCTTTTATTATTAAACAATAACTGACATGCAATATCATTTTAGTTTCAGGCACACAAGATAGTGAGTCAATATTTTTTATACATTACAAAATGATCACGATATCATCTGTCAGCATACGGAATTGTTGCAATATTATTGATTCTATTCCTTATGCTGTACATTACATCCCTGTAACTTATTTATTTTATAACTATAAGTTGATACCTCTTAATCCCCTTCTCTTGTTTCACGTGTCTCCCTCTCCAGCTCTCTGGCAACAACTAGTTTATTTTCAGTATCTGTGAGTCTGTTTCTGTTTTGTTTGTTTTGTTTTTTTTAGCTCCACATATAAGTGAAATCATGTCTTTCTCTATCAGACTTATTTCACTTCATTTACTACCTATTAGATCCATCCACGTTGTCAAAAGATTTCATTTTTTTTGTGGCTGAGTAATATCCCATTGTGTGTATGTGTATGTGTGTGTGTGTGTATGTATACAGGTATATACCATATATATCACATAAGTATATACAACATCTTTTATATTTATTCATCTATTGATGGACACTTTGGTTGCTTCCATGTCTTGGCTATTATAAATAATGCTGCAATGAACATAAGGGTACATGTATCTTTTCAAATTAGTGTTTTCATTCTTTTTTGGAAAGATACCCAGAAGAGGAATTGCTAGATCTTATAGTAGTTCTATTTTTAATATTTTGAGGAATCCATTTCGCTTTCACAGCCACTGGACCAATTTATCCACCAACAGTGCACAAGGCTTTCCTTTTTTCACATCCTAGCCAATACTTGTTATTTCTTGTCTTTTTGATAATAGTCATTCTGACAGGTATGAAGTGGTGTCTCATTGTGGTTTTGATTTGCATTTTTCTGATGATTAGTGACATTGAGCATCTTTTTATATGCCTGTTGACTATCTATGTGTCTTCTCTGGAAAAATGTTTATTCAGATCCTCTGCCCATTTTCTAAATCGGGTTTTTTTTTTCTTATTGAGTTGTATGAATTCTTTATATATCGTGGATATCAACCTCTTATGAGATATTGGTTTGCAAGTATCTTCTCTTATTCAATAGTTTGCCTTTTCATTTTGTCAATGATTTCCTTTGCTGTGCAAAGTTTAGTTTGATGCAGTCTCATTTTTTTACATTTTTACTTTTGTTGCTTTTGCCAGAGGAGACATATCTAAAAAAAAATATCACTAAGAACAGTGTCAAAGAGATTACTGCCTATTTTTTTCTCGTAGGAGTTTTATGTTTCCAATCTTATATTCATTTTAAATTAATTTTGGTGTATAGCATAAGATAATAGTTCAGTTTCATCCTTTCACACATGACTGTCCAATTTTCTGAGCATTATTTATTGAAAAGACTGTTCTTTCCCCATTGTATGTTCTTCCTTCATTTGTCATAAATTAATTGGCCATATATGTGTAGGTTTATATCTGGACTTTCTATTCTAGCCCATTCCATAGATCTATGTGTTTGTTTTTCTTCCAATATCATACTGTTTTGATCACTATAGCCTGGAAGTGTAGTTTGAAATCAACTAGTGTGATACTTCCAGCTCTGTTATTCTTTTTCAAGATTGCTTTGGCTATTTGGGGTCTTTTGTGATTCTGTATACACTTTAGGATAGTTTGTTAAAGTTCTAAAAAAATGTCATTGGTAATTTGGTAGGGATTGCATTGAATCTATAGATTGCTTTGGGTGGTATGGACATTTTAAAAATATTAATTCCTCCAACCCATTAGCATAGCATATGTTTCCATTTATTTGTGTTGTATTCCATTTCTTTCTTATAGTTTTCAGAATACAGATCTTTCACCTCTTTGGTTAAATTTCTTCCTAGGTATTTGTCCTTTTTAATGTATTTGTAAATGTGATCGTTCTCTTAATTTCTATTTCTGTTAGTTCATTATTAGTGTATAGAAACCCAACAGATTTCTGTATATTAATTTTGTATCCTGCAACTTGATTAAAATAATTTATTAATTTTGGTAGCTTTTTTGGTAGAGTCATTAGCTTTTTATATATATAGTATCATGTTATCTGCAAATAATGACACTTCTACTTTTTTCCAATTTGGATGTCCTTTATTTCTTTTTCTTGCCTAATTGTTGTGACTAGGACTTCTAATACTATATTTAATAAACGTTGTGGGAATGCCCATCCTTTTCTTGTTCCTTATCTTAGAGGAAAAACTTTCAGATTAGGAAAATGTTTATTTTATCTGCTATTATTTTCAAGAAATACCACAAGTTTAATGATATATTTTTGAAGGCAATCCCCACTATCTTTAACTGATGATTTTATGAATGATTATAGGACCCACATGATTAAAAAAATTAAAAGAGCCAAAATGTGAAAATATGGTAATATAGATAATCACGTGTACTAGCATAATGGGATATATGTTATGCAGTGTCAATAACTTTAGAAACATGGAAGATATATAAGGTCATCAGGAATGTCTTTATTCTATAAGAAAAGTAAGATCATTTATGTTTCTAAACTTTATAGAGAAAATGTATACTTAAGATTCTCTGTGACTCTAGTTTTAAGAAAATTCTCAGGATACTTGATTTATATTTGTAAAACACTACAATCTGTAGAACTTTTTTATTATATAAAGGAAAGTAAAATTTTCAGGGTAAAGGAAAATTAATTGTTAATGTAGTTCTTGTTAAATTGTTAATGTAATAATTATACTACATTATATCTCATTGTATTTTCAAGGGTCTGTTAATCATGCTACTCTTTTTTTACACTATTTTGCAGCTCCCTCTCCAGTCACCAATGTGAAAAAGGGGAAGATTGCAAAAAACAGCATCTCTTTGTCTTGGCAAGAGCCAGATCGTCCAAATGGAATCATCTTGGAGTACGAAATCAAATATTTTGAAAAGGTGAGAGTAATAGAATAAAGAATGTCCTTTCTTCTTCTGCTTCTTTTTTTTTCATTTTAGCAGCTGCAATTATCCAATATTTAGAAAAGCATGTTGCAATTTTATGTGTAAATCAATGACAATTGATTCTGCAGGCATGATTATGGAGGTTAGAAATGTATAGGGAGCACTCTATCCGTATTCTTCTGCTGTCAAATCGTTTATGCTGTCGGACTAGTGCCATATAGTCTAACATAAGCTTAATTAAGTTTCACAGCATTAAAAGATGAAGTCATAGGACATTTTGAAAGTGTAAACACTTAAGTTCTTGACCTTCACTACTGACTGCAGTGTACTACAAGGAAAAACACATGTGGTTATAGCCATTAACCCTACATAATACCTATGCTCTTAAGGAGGTATGGGTAGATAAGATGTGAATATAAAGCATAATTTTTAAAATCCATATCAAAAACCTAATACTGTATTATAAATTGTATTTGAAAATTAGAAGGCATAAAATCAGAAAAGTAGACCTCACATTTCCTACATTTTCTCAATTTCTTCTTTCCTGAGTTGTCTCTTAGACCCACTCTTGCATGTTGTGCCATAATAGTTGTTGAGGTCTAAAGGCAACAATTATTCCTTTTCCTTTTTTCTGAATCCACAGCCAAATGAGCTATTGATAAAGAAATATTACAGATGGAAAATAAAGGTGAACTTAAATCTCTAAAGTGGAACTATAGTATATAGCTTAGCTATGCAGTTACCATGGGTCTTCCTATACCTCCCACCCCCATTTTACTTTGATTTTTATACAGTCTGGATCTGAATGACTTACACTACTTAGAACAACCTGACTTCTAGGAGAGGAGAAAAAGATAGAAGCGTGCTCAAACCGTACTCTCACGGGTGGGTAAGAAACTCTGACTCAAGAGTATGTATCCTATGAAAGTAAGAGCAGAAAAGATCACAAACGTATGCAGAGAAGCAGATCCCCCCCAAAAAAGGAAAGGACTCAGCCACATGTACTAAATTGCTTTCCCTAAACTCATGAAAGCATCATTTCTTCTCTTAGAGCGAAGAGTGAAGAGGATAAGAAGAAGTTAAAAACTTACTTTGCAATCACAGAGAAACTGTCCATGCTAGGACATTGGAAAAGAGGGGAGAGGGAATAAATGGTTCTCCTTGTACTAATGCAAAAATATCTGGAAAAATACTTATATTCTATTAATGAAAATTATTTAAAAATTCGACATGTTGTATATATGCATAGATGAAAGAGTATAGGAAAATATGTTGAAATACATTAAATTAATGCATAGCATATAGAGATTTTTTTAATTGTTTCTTTTATTCATTGATTTAATAATTACCTGTGTAAAGATAATGATAGAGAGTAAAACAGTAGTGGGTGGGGGAAGGGAAACAGTGGGGATGTTTACATATCCTTCCTAGGTGTTGAATGCCTGTACAATGTTCTTATATTGATTTTATAAATAGATGAAAAAATAGCAAATTATTACTTTTGAAGGATTACTTAGTAATCCTCCTAGGAATGACTTGCTGGTAGCATCACAAATAACTATTGGATCATTGGGGAACATAAATGAAGATACTTTTATTTCATAAAAAAATATATTATCAAATACATTATTCACCAAGAATGTCCTAAGAGAGTATCTATGAGACAAAACTTTGTTGGTATAGGGGCACCTGGCTGGCTCAGTCAGTGGAGCATGCAACTCTCGATCTCGGGATTATGAGTTCAATACCCATGTTGGATGTAGAGATTACTTAAAAATAAAATCTTTAGAAAAAACTATGTTGGGATATGGTTTACAGTATTTATTATAAAAAAATAAGACAAATCAAGAAAAATGTTGTGTCATTAATATTCCTCACTGATTCTTGTTTCTCTGGGAGTAGTAGTCCAAATTGTATTTTACATTCTAGAGATCTACAATCTAAACACATGCTCTATCCAAAAATAATTTGTTAAATTAAGGTTTACATCCTTATTTATATTTTTGTAAATTTTATTACTGTATACTAATGAAAAGCAGGAGATATAGATAGATAGATGATAGATAGATATAACATACACTGACTTTTATAAATATTCTGAGTTTCAAGTTTTTATTGTAATTGAAGTTGATTTCAAAAGAAGTTGAAATGCATAATGACATTTAAAAATAATGACACACCAGGGGCGCTGGCTGGCTTAGTCAGTGAAGCACACAACTCTTGATCTTGGGGTTGTGAGTTCGAGCCCCAAATTGGGTATTGAGCCTACTTTAAAAGGATAAATTAGGGGTGCCTGGGTGTCTGAGTCGTTAAGCGTCTGCCTTCGGCTCAGGTCATGATCCCAGGTCTTGGGATCAAGTCCCACATCAGGCTCCCTGCTCAGCAGGAAGCTTGTTTCTCCCTCTCCCACGCCCCCTGCTTGTGGTCCCTCTCCCGCTTTGTTTCTCTCTGTCAAATAAATAAATAAAATCTTTAAAAATTAATTAATTAATTAATTAAAAGAAGGGAGTATTTAAAATTTTTTTAAAAAAACTATTCACCAAAACTCTCATTTGAATATACATTGTAGATGAAGTTCTACAGCAAGAAGACTAAAATTTGACATCATTATTTTTTTGTATGATTTTCCTTCCCCTGAAGCAACTAGCTGGACCAATGTATGGTTTTCTTTTTTGTTTCTAATGAAATTATCCTATTTTTCCCCTTTATGAGTAATTTTTCATTGTTTTTACTATTACCAGCATGTGCTTGATTAATACTCAATAAAAGCATGGATTTATCATTCTTTTTTTCTTTTTTTCTTTAAGTTGCTGCTTCTGTTAAACAGAGTTTTTCAACAAGTAGTAGGCAAAGTCCTTTTCTCTTAATATTCCTTCTAATGAATTTTATCCATGTTGTGGAATTATTTTCTTCATAGTTCTAAAATTAGTTCATGAAAATTTAGTTTTACATTTAATATCTTACATTTAATGCCGTGTTAATGCATTCTATTATCTGCATAACTCAACATAAGAAAAAATAACTTAGGAAAATATTTCTATATATAGTTTCAGTAAATGAAGAGCAAGTTGTCCATTTACATTTATTAAAAGCAGCAAAACCTTTATATATTATTTGGGGGAATTTATTAACTTCTCTTGGTCAGTGTTTTCCTTTTTATGGTGAAAATATTAACTCCCAGAACTTTTTGCCAAGCAAAATTATTGAGCATACCAACAAAATACATGAAAGTTTTTTTAACACTTTTGGGGGAAAAAAAAAGGAAAAAGAAGAAAAGGATAATGAGCTTTTATAGCATGTACTGAGGTGGGGGTCCTGATTGGTTTCCCGAGCTCATTTTGAACCTTCAGAATGACACCACCATTTTATTGGATGGCTCTTGGCCAGACACAGGTGGCAGAGCTTTCCAGGGCTCCTGCATTTGCCAACTGGCATTACTACCTGCCATTGCCCTGCTCTAATAGAGGTCATTGGGCCTCTCTGCTCCTGCATGGTGATGGGCCCACTGCCATCTCTTAATTAAAGGCAGAGGCAAAGGGACCTGCCCCTTGGCAGGGTGTTTGCCAGCTGGCTCCTTCTGCTGAGGCCCTCCCCTCGCTGCATGTGAACAGTGTTTGTTAAGCAGCTGGGGAATGTAGCTCATTTGCTCAGCTGGAGCACGAAGGCAGCAAAAGCCATTGCCCTGACCGGGATCTGGCAGCCGGGTGGTCGTGGGTGTTGAAGATGTATATATAGGGTTTGTGATAAAAAGGAAATTATAATATGACCGTGACTGAAAGGAGTGGAACAGAAGCAAATTTTGAAAGATACTTAGGTAATTCAAAATCGGTATTTACGGTTTTCGATCCCTTAGATATATGCTTTGGTGAGTCCCTCTGACACTAGAGATTTCAACTGACCCAGAGAGAAAATGTGCAATTAGAACTCCGATAAAGAACCACTTAGATATATCTGTTAATATATAAATCAGAATGTTGCATAATTTTGTGCAATTGATATTAGGTCATGCATTATTTCAAGGAGCAGCGTGCCAGTTTCCTTACAATGTTTCCTACCCCCCTGATTTGGCAAAAATGTCAACTACTAATAATTTTACAAGATATATTAATTGTGACTTCAATAGTTAGGAGTTTACAACAAACTTTTTATTAAATTTGCCATCATGATACAGACTCAAGTCGAATTTACCTAGAACTGGTTATGTTGTGGAGATTGTGCTGGGTGCTATGTATAGCATCTCTATCTCCATTTCTATTACTCACAAGCCTCTTAAATAATTTTGTCCCATTTTAAAGAAGAAAAAACTGAGGTTGAGTTGTGTATCCACATTTGCACACTTCTTAGACAATAGCATGACATGAATTCTAACCCTGATATTCCTGTGCTCTTTTATAAAACAAACAAAAAATCTCCTACTTTACATTATGTTAATGTTTTATGTAAAATCATAATTATATCAAATATACCAGAATCTTTAGTTTTGTCTAGATTTTTACACCAATTTCTCTTTAAACAAAATGCAAATAATAACAAACAGGTATTTTATCATTTCTTACTGAAATTACTGCTTCAGTCATAGCCAAAGTGAAAAATATAACCTTATTGAGAAAGTCTTGCATATTCAGTCTTAAGCTTGAGCAGCCACAGAACATCAGTACATTACTAGGTAAAATTTTATAGGATTTAATGACCTACTTTAAATCCTTTGCAAAAATCTAGTAATATTTCCTAAACACCTTAAAGACCTAGCACTTAAATTAATCTGTGCATCAAAAAAAAATTAAGAAAATAGTTGTTTGTTTAAAGTGAATTGGAAAACCTATTTGCATTAGAAATTAGAACATACCTATTTAGATAGAAATTTGGATGAACTTAACCCTAAGATAATTCTCTATGTTTGACTGTATTAAATGAAGAATGGTAAAACTGCTTTAAAAATCATTTTTGGGGGCGCCTGGGTGGCTCAGTTGGTTAAGCGACTGCCTTCGGCTCAGGTCATGATCCTGGAGTCCCGGGATCGAGTCCCACATCAGGCTCCCTGCTCAGGGGGGAGTCTGCTTCTCCCTCTAACCCTCTTCCCTCTCATGCTCTGTATCTCTCATTCTCTCTCTCTCAAATAAATAAAATCTTAAAAAAAATCATTTTTGGTAGGTTGTATACTTTAGATTGTATTGGTGGTAGAATAGAAAGTGATTAGCAATTCACTTTGATGTGTCAAAGTAGAAAAAATTTAAATAAAAATTATGACAATTAAAACACGTATTCTCTAGTTTATTTATTTATTTTTAAAGATTTATTTATTTATTTATTTGAAAGAGAGAGAATGAGAGAGAGAGAGCACATGAGAGGGGGGAGGGTCAGAGGGAGAAGCGGGCTCCCTGCTCGGCAGGGATTCAATCCAGGGACTCCAGGATCATGACCTGAGCCAAAGGCAGTCGCTTAACCAACTGAGCCACCCAGGCGCCCTATTCTCTAGTTTATTAAGTGTTTTCACATACATTACTTTTTTCATTCTTACAACATCTCTGTGAAGATATCCAGGCACCAATATCCCAACTTTACAGATAAGAAAACTAAGGATAAAAGTAAAAATGGACTTGCTGTATTTTAGCACATGCTTTCTGTGTCCACACTAAAGTCACAGCACGGTATGCTACTATTGATTGTAAACTTCAAGGGAGAAGGAGCATGGTTTGCATTTATTTTGCATTTTAATAGTGTTATGAAGATTAAATAATAACCATATTCCCTATTGGGATGCTTGAGAAGTAATTGTTATATTTTTGTTTTCAATTTTTTTTCTCATTTCAGAAAAAAAAATCCTTTACATGTTATTCCATTAGATCTTTAAAAAAAACCTCAATACATGTTTCTATTAGTAAAATAAAATTTCATGAAATGATCTAGAAAATGATGGTTTACAGTCATCAATCAAGATACTGTAAGTAAAGACCAGTTCCTAAAAATGGGGGAAAGAATCTCTAACCATTACCTATCAATTCATCCTGTAATATCTATCAGAAATGTAATAATTGTGGGAGCACCTTAAGGAAATACAAGTGTAGTCAAGAATTCACACAGAAAAATACAAGGGAGGAGAAAGTTCAGAACAAGGACTTTGTGTGTTTAGATTTTTGTAAGTTTCAGATTCAGTGTGTCGGTCTAAGATTCAGTGTGGTAACCTCAGAGGTAAGGAGAAGTTATGTGTGGTTAGTCTAGATTTTGGTAGCAGTCAAAATAGGAACAGTTTCCAAAACTATCTTTTCAGTGATATTTTTTTTTCACTCCACCTCCATTCACTACTCACCCAGCTCAAACAAAAAAAAACGTGAAAAAATAGAAAGCTTTTTAAAAAGAAAAAAAATTCCTTCAGTTTTTCTTTAGTAATCTCTGTTTAGAATTAATGAATTGAAATTAAAGTTCTCATTCTTCTCCCAAGCCCTAAATATAATTAGAAATCAAATTCACCAGAGATATAAAGCATAAGTCCTACCTGGCAATATCTGAGACCTTGCCACCATTCTCTGTGAAGAGGCAGCATGTTAGATGTGATCCAATAAAACATTTATGAGAAAAATAAACTCACAAATACCAATACTAAAATAGAGTCTGTAAAATAATTCATCTCCTGCAAATCATATTTTAAAAGTTTACAGATTCATTTGTGCCGAAGACAAGTATGGTGGGTGACTGGATAACATGTTATCTATCCACCATCTTTGAGTTCTAGGAAACACTTTCATGTTTTATATAGATAACACACCTAGGATGTATAGTTTTGTTTTTTTTTTCTTAAAGATTGTATTTGTACTAATAGCAAGTTTATTAGTTTCTGATTTTCTGATTTATGATTCTAAGTTTTGTCGTCATTAGTAATTCATATGTTGACTTTTTTATTGTATGTACATGTGTAATCCAAGGACCAAGAAACCAGCTATACAATTATCAAGTCTAAAGAGACAACTGTAACTGCAGAGGGCTTGAAACCAGCTTCGGTGTATGTCTTCCAAATTCGGGCACGCACAGCAGCAGGCTATGGTGTCTTCAGTCGAAGATTTGAGTTTGAAACCATCCCAGTGTGTAAGTCATTTTAATTACGTCAACGTGTGTCTCTGTAATGGTTACCAGAAAAAAGTCAGTGGATCAATACTCTCCCTGGGCATTCTGTCAGTCTCCTGCTCCTCTCTGTCTCCCAGGCATGACCCCTTCGGGTAGGAAGCATCTGTCATGCTATTATGGTAGGTTAGTGGGTTAACACATCGGTCCCTGCTCCTCATCACATTTAGTCTACGGGGAGATGAAACATCAAGAGATTCTTAAGAAATGTTTAAACCTGCTTTTAAAGACTTTCTTTCCACAGCTGTCATACTTTATTGAATTATTGCCATTTACTTTTACTTCTTTTATTGAACAATGTTATCAGGCTTAGTCTTTCTATGGAAATTCTACAGGGAGCATGCATTAAGTATTAAGTTTGGCAAGAAAATGGCGCTCTTAGCAACCAATCTGATCATTTTGAAAAATCAAAATCTCTGGCAGTATCTCTGAGTGAAGGATCTAGAAATATTCTGGAAAACATTTCTTGTACCATTTTTTAAATAAAGTAGCATAAAACATTTTTCTCTTTAGCATCTAACAAAATATTTAGATTACTTGTCCTAAAGCACACATTGAAAGCAAGATTAGAAGAAAACAATAGCTTGCTTTTATTTATAGTTGAAAAACTGACACTATTAGTATTTGTTTATGAAGAAAATAACATACAGGAGGAGTGTGAAATGTCAAATGTGTGTGTGTATGTATTTTCATTTTGTGCATGACAGTTAAGAATAGAGACTATGGACTCTGAGCAACAAACTGAGAGTTCTAGAGGGCAGGGGTTGGGGGGGAAGGGTTAGCCTGGTGATGGGTATTAAAGAGGGTTCGTACTGAATGGAGCACTGGGTGTTATGCGCAAACAATGAATCATGGAACAGTACATCAGAAACTAATGATGTAATGTATGGTGATTAACATGACATAATAAAATTTAAAAAAAAGAATACTGGCTTTAATGAGTTACCAATACTAAGAAAATTCTATCTGATCATTCAGGTATGTTAGGACAGAAAATTATCTGAAGATCATTACCTTGAACATACACTTTAAAAAGAGTTTTCTAATTGGTTACTCAATTCATAATGATGATGCATGGTGTTATTGATTTGCTTAATTTTTAAAATTTATAAATTTTAATTTATAAGTAGGTCATAAAATTGTTATGAAGGGCTTTTCTTTTTCATCTCAATTATCTTGTATGTCATTCATATGGTCCTAAAACCAAATGCAAACTGTAAGCACAGGAATATAAAATCTTTATTTTAGAAAGGCTATTTAACATAAGGATTTGGATGGAAAAATCTCAGAGTGGTCTTTCTCTCTCAAGCTTTAGTTTATATTTTATAACTGCCTATTATCCACTTTGTTATGCATATAAATAATATGTTTAAAATTGGCCCCATATGTCATCCCTTTTCCCAACAGCAGTGATAAAAATGCACCAACAAATAAACTTAGCATGAATGAAACCATCTAGCCAATCTAGTTAACTTTTTTTTTTTCTGGTTTCTTTTAACATAAATTGTCCTGAAACTTTGAGGCTGTCACTGAATTTTTCTTAACTCCCACTTGCTAAGATTTACCAAGCACCTTTGTGTTTCTTTTATGATTTTTTTTCTCCAAAGCATCACTTCCTTTCATGCAATTCTTACCTACTTGATTCAAATCTGTATAACCCAATTGCTGGAATAATGCTATTCTGTTTTTTAATTTTTTTTATTTTTTTAAAGATTTTATTTTTTTGAGAGAGAGAGAATGAGAGATAGAGAGCACATGAGAGGGGGGAGGGTCAGAGGGAGAAGCAGACTCCCTGCCGAGTAGGGAGCCTGATGTGGGACTTGATCCTAGGACTCCAGGATCATGACCTGAGCTAAAGGCAGTTGCTTAACCAACTGAGCCACCCAGGCACCCTATTCTATTTTTTTAATGAAATTTTTATTTAGATAAGTTGAGTTTTACATGCAATTGTAAGTAACAGTGCAGAATGGACTCTTGTACAATTTGCTCAGTTTCCCCCAATGGTAAAATTTGGCAAAACTATAGCATAATATCACATTCAGAATACTGACATTGATGCAATACACCAATCTTATTCACATTTCTTTCTACTCCTTTGTGTGTGTGTATAGAAACAGGTGAGTGTATTAAGTTGGATACAGTTTAGTCAGTTGTATAGATTTGTATATCTACCACAAAAGTCAAGATGCTGAAGAGAGCCAACATCACAAAGATCCCTCGGGTTGCCCTTTTCTGTTTTATTGAACAATGGGATAGTTCTTGTGCTTTTGGAATAGTTCTTGTGCTATAACTAATCACCGACAACCACTAATTTCTAAACATCCATTTCAAAAAATATGATATTTCAGAAATGTTCTATACATGGAATCATACAGTATGTGACAGTTTAGAATTGACTTAATTCTCTGGAGATTCATCTAAATTATTATGTATATCAAGTTTGTTTCTTTTTATTTTTGCGTGTGTTATGTGTGGACCACAGTTTATTTAAAAATTCACCTGTTGAAGGACATCTGGGTTAATACCAGTTTTGCTATTACCAAAAAACATGCTATGAATATTCATGTACATGTTTTGCTTTGATCTAAGTTTTCAGTTCCCTGGGATAAATACCCAAGAGTACAATTGCTACATCATATGGCAATTTTATTTTTAATTTTGTAAGAAATTGACAAATGGATTTCCAGAGTGACTATACCATTTTACAGTCCCACTAGCAATGTATGAGTTATCAGTTTATCCACATTTTCATCAGCATTTGCTGTTCTCACTATATTTTTCTTGTAGTCATTTTGGACAGGTGGGTAGTGATATCTCATTACAGTTTTAATTTGAAATCTCTGATGGTTAATGATGTTCAACATCTTTTCATGTGCATATTTGCCTGCCATGCTTTTAAATATCCCCATTAACTCCTATGTACTCATATTATATATCAAAAATTATAGCTTTGATCAAATTATCTTAATCAAGAAAATTAACAGATAGTTACAGCTGTGGTAGAAAGATCCCAAATTCTTAGCCTGGTCTTCAAAAACCCTTATAATCTGGCTTTAACAAATCTTTTCAGCTTCATGATTAACTATTCAAATACAGAGCTAAAATGTGGAGAATATCTATGTAATATGGGTTTTCAATCAGGAGTATGAGAAGCAAAATAAGGTAATCAGTGTGATTTCTCAGTGTATGCTACCTTAAATTTTCCAGGGACAATGTGTAAGTATATAATAATTGAAGAAAAAGGAATATTGTTTACTAAAGACAATTAATGTTTATAACATATATCCTTTTAATAGTAGTATGTTATGTTGCCCCAAATTTGCTTTTAAGCATTCCCTAAATATTCCTCAGCAATTCTTTCAAAACTACATGACATAAAAAAAAAATAGGAAATGTGAGTGACTAGAGGTTTATATCTTTAAAGATTAAAAACCTTAATGATATATTAAAACAATAATCATGGACCATACTGGGCTTATAACTTTTTTTCCTTGAAGAAGTAGGAGGGCATTGACAGTACCTTATCAATTCTATATATTTTCAAGTTAGTTGATATATTGGGGATATTATTGATTCTGTGAGAACAAACAAAGGAATAAATAGTACAAAATCTTGATGAATTATTTTTACTAGAAAGTTCACAAAATAATTAGTACATTCGAAATAGTAAAATAATCAAAGCCCATCAAAGAAATTAGAAAATGCTGAAATTTTTCTATAAAATGAAAATGTATTATTTAAATTCTTCCTCATAGGCCCTTGATTTAATCGTCTATTATACAAAAGATCTGATTTAGGTGAACAGTAGATAAAAACATGTAAATATGAACCTATGTAACTTGGCACTACTAAAAATATTTTCATATTTTCATAAAATCTATTAATTTAAGCATTTGAAAAATTTTGGTATGCTATTAAAAGTTACTTTATTGCAAGATATTAACCCAAACCATGTATATTTTAACATATTGTTAAATTATATTAGATCTTGTCAATTATTAAAAATGAAGCATTTGAGAATATGGGGCATCCATATTTTTTCTCAAAATTAATATTTGGTCAGTCTAAAATTGTCCTATTTTTATCCCTACCTCTGATTAATCATGCCTGCTTCCTCCAAAACTAAATCTCAGAGTGCCAAAATGGCTCACTGAGACCAGGAAGATTTGTTAGAATTTTGTTACAAGGGCTTTTGAATGCTAGATGGAGAATTTGGAATTTTTTTTTTTTCATAGGCAGTGAGTACTTGTTAACTTTTTGGTCAGAGAAACATGATCAAAGTGATATTTTTGGATATTTATGTGAGTACACAGAAGGCAAAGGGGACACTTAAAATGCCGATGAACCATATGCCGGCAGATTTGAATCAAATAGGTGACTGTTAGATGAAAAAATATAATTCATGGGGAAAAACAAAAGAAACAGAGAAAATGTTTATTAATTAATAGGCAAGTAGAAATTAAGAAAAATTCAGTGATAGTTAAAAGAAACCAGGAGAAAAGAGATCAAATTAGTCTGGTTCGTGGTTTGATTTATGGTTATGTTTATTTATTGATGTGTTTTTGTTAATACCCTTGGGAGTGGATGTGGTAAAAGGGCCAATTTTAAACATGTTGTTTTTATATGAAAACACAATCCAAATAAAAAGAAAGCAGTCTTTTTTTTGTTTTAATAGAGTGGAGCTTGGAAGAGAAATAAGACTTGGAAACATAAATTTGAGACTCATCAGCTCATAGTTAACTGATGCCATATGCAAAGAAGTATCCATGAGAGGTAGGGAGAAAAGAAAGAAGGAAGGGAGAAAGACAGAGTGAAGAGCTAAGGAAGTGTGAAGGATTAAGAGCCAGCATTCATCAGAAATTGTTCATGCATAAGATGTGGAGCGAGAATGTGAAGCCAACAGAACTGACAAAGTAGTACTTCAGAGTGGGGGAAAAAGAGAAAACAGCTCATCTGATGTCATAGAAACCGAGAGGAGCAGAATCTCAAGGTTGAAGTTTATGTTCAACAAGATCAAATGCCTTATAGTGCATGGTAAGGTAAATGGAGAAGTACTTATTGCATGTAGCCAGAATATCACACATAGAACTCAAAGACAGGAGAAGTTTCAGAGAGAATTTACACTGGTTATCAGAAAAATGAGGCTGGTTCTAGATAACTTAGTCAAGATGCTGAAAAATAAGAAAGAATAAGAGTGATAAACAAGGGCGCCTGGGTGGCTCAGTTGGTTAAGCGACTGCCTTCGGCTCAGGTCATGATCCTGGAGTCCCGGGATCGAGTCCCGCATCGGGCTCCCCGCTCAGTGGGGAGTCTGCTTCTCTCTCTGACCCTCTTCCCTCTTGTGCTCTCTATCTCTCATTCTCTCTCTCTCTCTGTCTCTCTCAAATAAATAAATAAAATTAAAAAAAAAAAGAGTGATAAACAAAGCAGGATCAGAAAGCAATATGTAGAAATATTATCTACTATTTATTTAAGGCTGGCAATAATTGAAGCACTATGCTAAATATTATCTCTAAACAGAATTGTAATGATCCAGGAATATTATCCCTATTTGGAGATTAATGAAATGAGACTTGATAAGGTTAAGTACTTTGCTTTGGCCTATATACCTAGTAAATGTTGGACCTGTTTTCAAATTTCAATTGAACCAACATCAGTAAGGTTAGGTATAAGGATCTGCGTCCCCTTAGGAGAATTATGTGTTCAGGCTTGTAGATAGCAGAGAAATAGCCTGTAAGGGAATGAAAATCTCTCCTGGAGGAGATTGTTGAAGGATCCAGGTCTTAGAAGAGACAGGAAGGATTCTAACTTTGGAGTTAGGTAAAACAAAGGAAAACTGTATAACCCATACAGTTTGATTTAACCATGGAGTTCAGACTTGATCACTCTTTTTTATCTATAAAGTTTAACATTTCTGAAACATGAGAAGTGGTAATAAATTAGTGGTTTGAGAAAATGAGGAGGACTCATTATGGGGATGATTTTGTCAGGAAATTAATAAGAGAGAATCAAAATAATTGGAATAGCAGTTAGAGCCCAACAAAAATAACATGTATACAGACCAAGTCTGCATGATTTTCTCTAGGAACATGCCCCTTACCAAAAAGAAAATTAAAGAACTAAGAAAAAGCAGTGGTATAAATAATCTGAGTTTAGAGATTATAAAAGCAAATCTTGGGTCTAGGCTCTTTGCGATAGTGGAGTAGCTTTGCCCTACCCATTTATACTGCTCACCAGCTTTGAATTCCCTACCACAGACTTCAGCATCAGATAATAGGAGAGAAAAATCAAGATAAGGAACCACTGAACCACAACTGTTATTATCCAAGAAAAGGGGGGGGTAAGAACATAGATTTAGATTATCAATTAAGTCTTTTTCATACACGAACAAGCTATTGTTGATATTGGGTTTAAAGACTGATCTGAAAGGGTTAAAAGTGTAGCTCAAGTGCAAGAAGTGTCAGTCAGTCAATTTTGTTTTGAAAGAATCAAAAGAGAGGTGACAATAATAGAAAGGGAAGTGTATGGCTGTCCAAAACTATTGATGGGGCCAAGATCTGATAAGGGGCTATAAGAAAGAAAACATGGAAAGTATAGTTGTTATTACTTTTGATAACTTAAAATTTGTTATGAAGGTGAGCTAACACCACTCTGAATTTATCAAAAATGATTATATTGTTAAACAGTAGCATAGTATGTATCTTATTGAGTGTTTTTTGAGAACATTAGTAAAATTTATTTTGCTCTATAAGTTTCTTATTTTAATAATGCATAGTTGTTGGCACAAAATTAACATCCCCGTGCTTTTTGAGGTACAACTGTCTACTCATGTCCATATTCCTCTTATTATGGTAATTGTACTGTTAAAATGTAGGATATTTCAACTAAATCCATGTATTTAAAAAAAGATGGTGTAAATAAACCTACTCTTAGCAGACTTCTCAAAGTTCTAAATGTGTGCCTTGATATCTTTCAAAAAGTAGTCCTACACATAAAGTATACTCACTGATTATATTCTGATTGAAATCACAGTTTTTAAACTTATATTAGGAAAAGTGATATTATATTAACTTCACTGAAATCATAGCCAGAACATTTTGGTGTTCAAGCTATGTCTATGAGGAAAAAAAAAAAAAAGTCCTGTCTGAGGTACCAAGATTTTTTTTTCTAGCGAATAGCCACATGTGAACTCTAAAATGTCAAATCTTATATACTTAGCACCTCCTATTCAGATGAAGGTGTTTGATCTCAAGGACTAAGTTGCATTTTATCTTGCAAACCCAAGATCCCTAGATAAATACTATGCAAACGATTAAATTCATTTTTTATGATGACAAAGAAATAATCAGTGACTTAGTGATTCTTTCAAATTTCCATTTGGAGAGTAAATATTTTCTCCTAAAGATGTCTTTTCAATTACACACCATTGAGCAGAGATATGAAGAGGAAATCTCGGCCAAGTGTGGGGGAATTGCTTAAACCACGCATCGATTACTGACTATTAAGCAGCTCTTATTTGAATGCATATGATCTCTTTAACCACGGGCTCCATTTCCTGTGTCTCCTATCAGCAGTTGCAGCATCCAGCGATCAAAGCCAGATTCCTATAATTGCTGTGTCTGTGACAGTGGGAGTCATTTTGTTGGCAGTGGTTATCGGCTTCCTCCTCAGTGGAAGGTAAGAAAGGAAGCTGTGATTTTGAACTTTTGCAGCTGATCTCTTCTTTACCTTGATCTGACCATTTGGCTGTTAAGCACATCCCAAAACCAATCAGGCAAGCAATGTATCAGCAGATAACTTCAGTGTCTGATGTATTTTTAAGCTTTACCTTGTCCATGTTAAGTGCTAACTTTTAAGTACAGAATTTCTCTTTTTCAGGTATGCTGTCTTCACAAGAGTTAATTATTAACTTGTTATTATTTATTCTGCCTTTAATCATATTTTTTCTAATATAGTTTTTAAATGTGAGTTTTTTCCCTCAAAATTATTTATAGTTTTCTGCTTCAATTTTAGTGTTTGGGAAGGCCTGTGCCTGTGCCTGGTAGATTCAGAGGAATAGGGACTAATAATTCTACTTAGCCAGCATTCTATCCTAATAGGGTGATGGATACCAAACAGATACTCTGGCAAACCAACATTCTGAGAAGTAACCAACCCTTTTTCATGACTGCTTTTATTTTCAGCTTCTGAATGATTTCAATCTGAATACATCAATCATAGCATGTACTGATTTAAAATGAATTGTACTGAATATTGTATCAATAGATACATTAACATGTGTGTTACACATCTACATTTTTCATTTTGAACAAAAATAAAAGAGGTAGAGAGACCCAACAACAACTTATGTAGAAAGTATTTCCTGATATTGAATTGAGCATAATCAACCTTCAGAAAAATAATTTTAAAATAACAGTAAGTAAATAAATCAAATCATGAGAATGCACTGTTCCTGCAACAAACATATCTCCATTTTTTATCCAGGCCATTGTTAGAAGGGCTATTTAGTAATTAGAGCTGTCCATTTGAAAATGTTTTGGTGTTAGACTATTACAGAAAACTTGACGAAAGTCTTCATGGAAATATTTAGACTTGAATAAATATGTGAAATGTAGTGTAGGGGCCAAAAAAGTCAGAAAATCAATATTCATATTGATTTTGTTCCTGTTCTACTTATTTACTTTTGACTCTTCAGCACATATTCAACTCATAAATATACAGAATTGGGCACTTTTTAATATACTGCATATTGTATTCTGAAAAGAATTGTGACTATATCCTTAAATTATAGTAATTTATTTTCATAAAACATTGTTGGAAATATTCCTTTGAACATCCTTTCTTTCTGTATCTGAAAATTCCTTTTCTTCTAGTTCCTGTTTATTTAAGAATGTTCAAAATTTTCTTAAGTGTGTATATAGAAATCCATCACTTACTTTTAATGTTAGACTAGCAGTGATGCATTTTTAGAATTTCTAGGTGAGAAGCAGTTTGTGATTTTGTGAGGACAACTGGCCCCATTTGACCAAAAGCCTGGCTACCTGGTGACCTACAGTTCTTTTCTTTCTGAAGTCACCTGAAGACTGCTCTGATTATGTCCCTGTTTCCTGGAAGATAAAAATTTTGTCATAAAAACTTTGCTCATATTTATTTATTTTTAATATATTTTTTAAAGATTTTATTTATTTATTTGACAGAGACAGAGACAGCGAGAGAGGGAACACAAGCAGGGGGAGTGGGAGAGGGAGAAGCAGGCTTCCCGCTGAGCAAGAAGCCTGAAGTGGGGCTCAATCCCAGGACTCTGGGATCATGACCTGAGCCAAAGGCAGACGCTTAACGACTGAGCCACCCAGGTGCCCCAAAACTTTGCTCATATTTAAATAAGATAATTAAGTTGGCTGTATGGTAACTATTAAGAAAACTACCACATGATATGAGTCTTTTCTCCCTCAAAAGCGTAGATAACTATGATACAGTTTCAGAGTTGGTTTGTAATATCATTTCTTTACTTCTGACTGAGATATTAGTTGGCTTCTTCCTTTCCAATAAATCCAGGAGTATTAGTTATAGTTAGGGACATGAATATCATAAGAAGACACTGTATTTCTTAGGTCCACACTTAGAGGAAGTGAATAAAATGGGAGGAAAGATCTGATATCTAGAATCCAATAAATTTGTGTGTTTAAGAGTTTATTAAAGGATAAATCAAATACAGAATGTGCCTTATTATATACTTAGCCACACTATAGTTATTTAACCTACATATTGTTAATGTGAATTTACTGATGACATTCAGCTATGGATTCTTGCTTACTTGTATGTGAATCAGCCCTTGTTCTCAAAAATTTTTCTTCCCCAATATATACACAAAATTGACTTAAAAACAATTTACTTTGTTGCATCTGTAGCATTAGACAAAGTGTTTGAGAGAAGGTTCAATTAACCTATTACTTGGTAACTGAAGGGTAGTAATATGTTAGTGTGTGTGTGCAAACATGTACCACATGAATTCTATAAGTACCTGGATTTGCTGTGTAAGAATAATTAAATTTTAGTATAATTTCTCAGTTATACTAGAATTACATCTACACTCAAAGGTACAACCAAAGCTTAATTTTCAGCATAACTAAATCTGAGACTTGGTAAGATAAAATTTTGAATGTATTGTCTTATAGAAGTATATTACTTTTAAAAAATAGCAATACCTTATTAATTTGTACATTGTTTATTCATGTTAATTTTTTTCTGAATTTAGTTTTATAACACACAGCTTACTATGCAAAGAGTAGGAATCTTCAATTTAAGGAAAACAAATCTTACTCCCCCAAATCTGAGATTTATATTTTTTTACCAGCATATTTTTTGCATGAGAAATTTTTATTACTTCATTTTGTTGAATGCACATTCTTGAATTTCAGGGGGTATTTGTCTTATGATAAAAACATCTCTGGCCATCTTATTTTATTTTTCATGGATAAGTTATTTTATGTTGTTTTAAATAAATTTACTCAAAACCTAAATGAAATGATTCTTGAAGGTCCTTTCCTATCTCGTTCAAGGCAATGAGCTTTGAAGTTTTTGTTTGGACTAAGGAAAGTGTGCCTATCTCATAGTACCTACAGTTCCTGAATTAACTCAGTAAAGATTTATTAAATAAGAGAAAAATTAAATGAAGAAATGTAGCCAAAACCTAACAGTATTTGGGAAATTATTATGAGTACTGACAAATTATTGAAAAAGTCTGCTCTAGGATTGGTCTGAAGACAGTGAATTATATTTGTTTCTCCCTTCTTTCTTTGCCATAATATGACTGATAAACACACACAAAAATACAATGAAATTTAGACTATCCTTTCACTCTAAACTCTTTTGTTACTTTTTAATCTCTTGAATTTATTAAAAACCAGGTATTTGCTCCTAGGTGAAATGTATTTTAATTATAAATAATTTGACTCCTCAGTGGTGATACAGATAAATTAATTTTTATATGTTGCAAAATATTAATATTACTTAAACGTAATATTTATTGACAATTTATATCATTTGGACCCAGAGGAAATATGTCTTGAAGATACATATTCACTGATAATTGGTAGTTTTGTTCATATCAAGTCAAAAAAACAGGATTATAACATATAAATACTATGGGACTAATTTATTTCAAAGAAAAAATAAACATTTTTGTTCTAAAATAAATAAAAGATAAATAAATCAAAGATGGAGACTTTCTAATCATTTTAGGCTAAAATTGATTACAGAGAAACTCTTGGAGTCTTCCTATCGAAATACAGTTAAAAATAATGTAAGCAAAAAAAAAAAAAATAAATAAATAAATAAAAATAATGTAAGCGGATATCCATCTTAAAGGAAAAAGTTCCATTTAAAAAAATAGAGAGAATTATAACATCTTAGGATTCTGTCAATCTTAGAATTTGTGTGATCTTCATGTTTAGAGGTGCTAAATATTCCATAGAACATTTTTCTGCAGGGGTTAGATTCTCCTTTTTACTTTCTTTACCATTAATTTTATTTTTTTTTTTATTGGTCTACAAAACAACTGACATGTCCTCAGCAAACTATGAGCCAGTTACTCTAGGATGAATATAAATTAAACCTCCTATAGATATGCACAGCATGTTGAAATTGTTGTTTAATATTTCCCTTTTATCAGTAATGGCAATGCACACTGATAACTTTATTATATACTAATTTTATTGTTTTTTCTCCTTATAGTTACTACTTTATAGTATAAATTGTTTAATGAACTAACATTTCATTATTGATTGTCATCTCCATGCTGCCACCTCTCCACATGTTTGAGAAAGTCTTTTATAGTGTCCTTCCCCTCTTTGCCTTTCCTTTGAGGATGATCATTGATTACATTAAGTTACTTTTTTTTCTGTCTCCATTTCAAACTTAGTGCCTAATTCTTGATTACTGAATACTTCTTAACCTGACATAAAGCTTAAGTTAACAGGATTTAGTGATACAGAAAATATAAAGGAAAACATCTATCAGTGTAGAGAAACTTTCTTCTTTGAACCTTGGTCAACATAGACATCCTGGGCTTAAACAATATTTTTTAATACTTTGTTTCTGATCCCTCACTTATTACATGCTCATGAATTTATTTTTTATCACTTTTTAAAAAGAATTATTTATTTGAGAGAGAGCATGCACACACAGGGGAGGGGCAGAGGGAGGGAGAATCTCACACAGACTCCACACTGAGCATGGAGTCCACTTGGGGCTCGATCCCACAACCTGAGCCGAAACTGAGTTGGACACTTAACCAACTGCGCTACTCAGCCACACCTCATGAATTTATTTTTTAAGAAAATTCCAGAGCTTTGCTTTTTTATTTCAATCAATTCCACAGGTATGCTCAGAGGTTAAAAACACACACACACATTATACACATATACTCCCACACGTTTGCACAGGTTCTTGCAAATAAGTACAAAGAAGTTGAAGGTGTTCACCAGTTTTAAAAATGGAAAAAAACAAAAAACAAAACTATGAGGTGGAAGAAGAGGTGGAAGAATTTCCTCAAGATGCTTAGCCTTTGATGTGATTTTAAGGCTACTCATATATGACTTGATTATTATGATGCTCCTGAAATGATAAATTTAGTCTCAGGGGTGGCTTAATGTCTGTAAAAAAAGATTTTTTTCTGG